TTTTTATGTCAGTAAAAACCCAAGAGGGGTTCTAATCCTTTCCCTCTCTATCCAAGATTGGCAAAAATGTTTTAGCACGATATACTCTTAATGCAACATTTTGTGACCTTAACAACCTAATTGTACATCCCTCAGTTATGGAATAGCCACAGATTCATGGACAATGAAGTTGGTATTGCACATCACAAATATAATAGAATAGAAAATAATATAATATATATAATAAAATATCTAGTGTGTGGTGCCAGTCAGCTCCATTCAAACTCTTACAACAAGTCACTGTCTTCAGTTCCTTGTCGCTGTCTTCAGGTTTGTCTCTGGAACAGGATCTGGCCAGTACCCAAACCAACAGTGAACCTTTTCATTAGGTGCCTGGGTCTTCTTACTATTCCTCACCAGTCCCTGCACAAGCCCAGGAAACGTCTTTGTGCTTGATGATTAGCCGGCTTCTGCTGTGTACCCGCTATAAGAGCCCTGTGATGTCCCATCCGTCACATAGTGTTCTTCACTTGTGCTGCTATGATTCATCTGTCAGTGTGAGCACCTGACCTGGTCCCAGGAACACTGCGCTTATTGTAAGGGCCTTCCTAACACTACTGCTATTGTAATGTGGAGACTTCAGTGAGACTTCCACTGTTTGCTCTACAATTCTGAAGGACTACAGAGTACACACCATCACACCTATCAGTGTAATACAGCAAATCTGGTTCACTTCTGTGATTTCTAGTGCTGCTGGATATAAAATAATAGTTTATTTCCTATGACTATAAAATATGGTCAAAGTGGCCATAGACACAGAATGGTCGTAATTTTGACAGACGTCATATTTATGGGCACAAGCAAAGCACACTAGACACATGTGTCTAATTGTGTTCAGGCATATAGTATTCAGCCTTGCTGGATATTTTTGGGCTGCTTTGTTGCTTCCCCTATAACGGCACTCTTTATGTGCTCACCCACAGTGCTTCGTAGTCACAAACATGCACACTTCCTATGCTTATGCATCAATGTGTAAAATATAAATAATTCTGACCACCCTTTAATGTCTGTGGCCACCTCTACTGCTGACTTTTAAAAAACAGCCACTCACCTGTCCCACGATCCCACGGTGTCCTCCCTGCAGCTCATTTCACCAGCCATCTGGTGCTCCAGGCTCCGGCACCTTTGGTGTGGGCAACCGGCTGTGGCAGCTTGCAGCTTCACAGCTGGGTGTCCACTGTGCATGCGTGAGTAGCACTGCACTTCCTGAATGGCCCCGTAGTCTTCTGGGACCTGTTACATGTCCCACAAGACTTCGGGGAGGGAGGGTAGGAGGACAACTTCCAGTTCTGATCGGCTAGGCAATCGCAGCGGAAGAGGGAGTGGATACCTGTCAATTACAGGTACCCACTCACCCCTCCCCCCCCCCGCTCCCCAAAGGTGCCAATCCTTAATAGGGAGTGGGGGACCAGTCTTTAAAGCAGAACATACACTTTAAGTAACACTTACAGATCTTGTCCCTCCCACATCCTGTGATTGGATGGTAATAGGAGAAGCGGCACACTCTCTGCCACTCTGCTCTCTTCTACTATCAGCATGTTCCTTGCACTGCTGCACAACTAACTGGCTTTTTATACTAAAGCTTGTATATAGATGGTTATTTCTTTTTCAGCCAGCAGGTTGAACAAATAAAAGATAACATTTTCCAGTCCACACAAATGAACTGGATGAAGGAATTCCCTTCCTCAGGACACTGAATTCTAACAGCGCGACTCACCACTGTCAGAAAGCACTTACCAGTGGCTGTAGCTGCTGATTGATGAAAGGTTTCCAAATTGTCCATTTGACAGAAGTCGATCAAACAAGCGAACAAGGAGGTTGCGCAAAGATGGGTCCACTCACTGATCAAAAGTTGGTTGGCGCCTGCTGAACTGGCTTAATTTCAGTCTGTCTGCGGCCAGCATGCTAAGCCTCTTTACCCAGCTCTGTGCTCTGCTGTACAGGGACTACAAAAGATTGATATCAAGTCAAATTCAGGTAACTACACTGCATGCATTTAATGGTGTATTATTGATTACAGAGCTGCATTCATTTATGTCTTATACATTTTCCTGGACTTCAGATTTAAGCTGGGCTTCAGACATATGCATTATGGTAACATGCAGTAGAAATCCATTTTACCCCATGTTCCCGCAATACATGATAAAGCACAACAGTCTGTTCTGTGCATTGTTGTGCCATTCATTTAGAATACCATTCAAACATGCTCATTAAAAAGTGCTCTTAGCTCAGACTATTATACCCTAGTTTGTGTTTTGTCAGTCTAATCTGGGCTGCCTTAATGTTTTGTACGGTAAAGTAGACGTTTACCTTAATATTAATCTATGAACATTAAACAAATAGTACATGATAAATACGCAGCACCATGGTTGATTTTTGTCCACACTGTGGTTGCCCAGCAATTAGAATTAGACACTGCTAGCCATTTACCAGTGACACACACACAACTCATGGTGTCACTCGGCCCCACTTGTGATATCCGTGTTTTTTGACAGCATCAAGGCACAGAGGAAACATTTCCAGTCAGGCTTTTCAATCACAGGATGTAGATAGCCTAATGAACCCCAACACCCAATTATATCTAATTAAACTTGTATTTTTTGACAAACTGATTAACTGGGTGAGTGTTAATCCCTTCCAATAAAAGTGTTCTTTTTTCATTACCAATCCTTAGTATACATAGTAACAAGAATGCTAGAATTTGAATTTGCCTTGTGCTAGAAGATGAACCATATTTTTCAAGAATGACTTCAGCATCTTGAGAATATATATATATATATATATATATATATATATATATATATATCCCTGTGACTTAACAGTGAAAAGCCAAAAGCAAACTGGCAGCACTTATTGGATCCACCCGTCGTATCATTGTCTTCACAGGAAAACCAAACCCTACATCTCAATAGCTTGTTGTCTGCGCTACGGCAGAGAAATGCCTGACAGTAGAATCCTGGGAGTTAAAGAGAAGAGTTCCGGCCGTTGAGTGGATAATGCTGTCCCTGGACGTTGTCCCTGGGTACAAGCCCAAAGCTTTCTATTTGTTTTGCAGGGAGCTTAGATTCATGTAGGAACAATAGAGAGGGATCAGCCAACCACCATTGTAAAGAGCAGATCAGAACAAATTATAAGACGTACACAGCTTTCAACTCCTAGCAATGGCATACAGAAAATCTAAACTCACATCTAAACTTTAAAACCCAAAACAATGTTAATAGATTGCAGCTTGCCAGTTCTTAGATGTTGTGGCTGCATTTGTTTTCTTCTGTTTGTATGCCTTTTTTTCCCCCAATGTTTCAGCTGATAATCCTTGTGAATAACACACTTCCTATCCTTGGGTGGCTACACTCACTCCTACACTTTATCTAAGGAGGAACACATGGGGGTCGATTTACTAAAACTGAACAGTACAAATTTGGTGCAGCTATGCATGGTAGCCAATCAGCTTCTAACTTCAGCTTGTTCAATGAAGCTTTGACAAAAAAACCTGGAAGCTGATTGGTTTCTCTGCAGAGCTGCACCAGATTTTGCACTCTCCAGTTTTAGTAAATGAACCCCATGGCTGCTACCCAGGCTGAACTTGAAAGGCATCTGCCTTTGTTCCTCTCCATTACATTATGGCTGATTGGATTAGTAGTGTAGCACCCTCTTAGGTTGGTGCTAGAATTTGTATAGTTAGGTTAAGCATAGCTGTGTTTCTCTGCTTACCAGAGAGACTGTCAGGTAAATTCAGTGTGGTATTCTGCTTAACAGAGTGCTGTGATTGATTAGTTATGGCGCTGTGGATGCTCTGGTGCCAGGGGCGGACTGACCATTTGGAAACTCGGGCACTGCCCAAGAGCCCAGGGTCAGTAGGGGGCCCCATGAGATGCCCCTGGTACCTTTTTCATAGGCTTTTTTGAGTTTGGGCAAGGACACAGGGGCCCCATGATACCCTATTGCCCGGGGGCCCCATGAGTTGTCAGTCCGTCCCTGTCTGGTGCTGTTGGAGTTTGTCTGAGTTCTGCCCACCTTCAGGAAGCTATGAGAGCCTTCCAGAACATGGGTAGGGGCTAGGCAAAGGAACAGCATGAATATGGATACAGCCCTGGCCAATTGCAGGGGAAAGCAGTTCCATTGCATGCTGGAAGTGGTATTTATATTCTGAGAGCACATGGGTTCAGCGTCTTTTCCCGGGAGAGGATTGCACCAAGCCAGGCAGGAGGCAGGCTGCCTCAGCTGGCACTTGTTACCATGTGGTCTCAGGTGGGTTGACCTGAGGGCCTGAAGTTAGAGAGAGTGACCCTGGTTTTGCAGGAAGCTGACTGAGGGGGGCTGTCTGTCAAAGATCTGTCTGGTATCACTGGAGGGTTTTGCTGGGAAGATTGGAAGGAGGCAACCAGTCTATCCTTGGGCCTTGTGAGTACTGACATTAATGAATTTAGGGAGGTGGGTCTGGAAAGAGGGAACACTGGCTAGTGTTCTGAAGAGATTGTCCAAGTGTTGATACTGCAAAGGACTGCAAAGGACTAGCTACGTTACCTTTGGGCTGTCACAGTCTGTCATATACTGTCATACTGGCTTATACCCGAGGAATTCAGCCCTGTAACTACTACTACTGCTAAAGGGACCATGCTCACTCCTAAACTACTTGCTGCTATATGTGACAAAGGGAGGTCTGCTATCTGCTGACAGGCAAGAAATTCATAAGTGTTTAACGAAGAGATGAGACAGATGTCCTCAGTGTCAATAGTTCTGATTTGGGGTATCCTACTACAATTCCCCATCCCTATACCCAGTTCTACAATAAACTCTAAAAACAAACATCCACTAGACTGGCCATTGAAGACAAGGATCCGACGTGTGTGTGTTTATTTGGCTGAAGAAATACACTGTGCCTGGCTGCAGGGCAAAGTAAGGGTAAAAAGGGACAACAAACAAGCGGCTTCTGCCGCCGAGGATCTCTGACGGAGGAGAGACCTGTATGTAAACAATACAGATCTCTCCCCTGTCAGTTCCTGCACACTGCTTTAGCAGAGCCATACAAAGCAGTGTGCTTACAGTGAAGGACACACACAGCCCCATTGTGAAACAGCACACAGCACACATTTAACCCTTTGATCGCCCCAGATGTTAAGCCCTTCTGCCCAGTGCCATTAGTAAGGTGTCAATGCTTTTTATTAGCACTGATCACTGTATTGGTGTCACTGGGGATGTCAGTGACACCAAGCCAGTTCCCCCCAGGCTCAGAATGCCCGCCGCGGTCCCGCTATAAGTCGCTGATTGCTGCCATTATTAGTAAAAAAAAACAAAACATCCCAGTGTATATACCGCCATTTGTAAATGTTATAACTTTCACGTGAGCCAATTAATTTACACGTACTGGGAATTTTGTTTTAGCAAAGATGTGTAGCAGAATACATTTTGGCCTAAATTTGACAAAATTAGATTTTTTTTAATATTTTTCTACTGGACATGTTTAATAACAAAAAGTCCAAAATATTGTTTTATTCTCAAAATTGTTGGTCTTTTTTTATTTATAGCGCAAAAAAGACCACAGAAAGAAACCTCTATTTGTGGGGAAAAAGGGCGTAAATTTAATTTGGGTGCAGCGTTGCATGACCGCCAATTGTCAGTTACAGTAACGCAGCGCTGTATCGCAAAAACAGCCTGGTCAAGAAAGGGGGGTCGGGGGTAAATCCATTGGAGCGCAAGTGGTTTATTAGCTAAGCAGTTTTTTTTTATAAAAGAGCACTTGAAAATACCAGGTTCATTGCTTGAAGAATTTGTTGCAGTATGCAGTTTCTCAACCTTGACTGTACTTTGCACTGAGCTGCAGAGAGTCTAGTGACTGGTCTCTGTACCTGCTTCAGTTTTGCTGCCATATTCAAAGAATAGTATCCAGCTAGAAAGGAACAAATTAAACACAAACTGCCAAATACTGCCCAGCAGTATATATTCATGTGACATGTACAAATATTAAGTGCAAATGAAACACTTAGGCCCCTTTCACATGAAGGGTCCACTCGGTTTTTCAGGCAGACCTGATCAGATGGTCCATTCACCATTAGGCCTGGTTCATATCTATGCAAGTTTGCGGTGCGGTTTGTGCAGGCACAGCAGCCCATTAATTTGAATGGGCTGCTGTGCCTGCATTTCCTGCAGAAAAAAGGTTCCTGCACCATTCTGAGAATGCAGCAGCCAGGAAATCGTATGGTGCCTTTGCACCATGCGATTTCAGTGAGGTTCTTGCACCCAAAACCACCTGCAGGCTAAACTGCGGGTGATTTTGGGTGCGGGTGTCGCTTTGATTCCCACACCCGCAACCACCCGCATAGATGTGAACCAGGCCCTAATGAAAAAAAACTAACTTTGTATGGCCAGTTTTACAATAGTCAGCTAGTATTTAGTAAGTAAACACCATTACCTCAAAATAAAAAAAAAAACTGTTGCTGTAAATCATTAAAACATTTTAGATGAAGTTCAGCTTTCATTTGTTAGTCAAGTCCTTCTAAATCTGCTAGTCTAACACTACCCTCCCCCTGACTGATAATGCTGCTGTCCAAGAGTGTCTTCATTGCTCCTTCCTCCAGAGTAGAGACACTTTAAGACAGGAAGTGTGTTGCTGGCCAGGTCACCAGGTGTAAATAAAGGGAAAAAGGAAAGTAAAGAGGAAAAATGATGAAGCCACCACATTTAAAGTGGTTGTAAGCCTTAGATGACATATAAACAAAGCATATCCCTCTATAGCATGTACTTATCTCTATCCAGAGCACTAAGTGTCATTTCTGTCTTCTGCCTCATTCCTCTATCAGCATGAATCACTTCTGACAAGTTTTCCTGACACCAAGAGAAAAATGGTAAGAGGGGAGAGACCTCCAGCAGATTGACATCCTCAGCTCTGTTCCTGTGAGCTGTGTGGAAAGGGGTGTGTCTCTTCCCTCCAATCAGCTCTCAAAGATCACCTCACTGAGCTCTGCAGTGTGTTATTTAAGCTTTCCACCCCCTTTTTTCTGAACTGTCAGACAAGCTTTATAAATCCTGGACGGATGTAGTTTCTGGGCTTAATAGCACTTTATATTGTATCCTAGTACTTCATTTTTTTACCCAAAGCAAAATAAATAACTTTGAGGGGGGGGGGTGACCCGATGTTAGCGTGGAAAGGGTATCTAGTGGACCAATCAGCTTTTTTACAAATATGTAGTATTCCTAAAAAAGGCTGATTCATTAAAATGGAAGGTAAGAGTGAGAGTGCAGGACTCTGGGGGGCAAATAATTTTTATTTTTATTTATTTCAGGTACTTATACAGCGCTGTCAATTTACGCAGCGTTTTACATATATATTATACATTCACATCAGTCCCTAACCCTCAAGAAACTTACAAACCAAGGTCCCTAACTCACATTCATACATACACATAATAAGGCCAATATAGACAGGAGCCAATTAACCTACCAGCATGTCTTCGGAGTGTGAGAGGAAACTGAAGAACCCAGAGGAAACCCACGCAGGCACAGGGAGAACATGCAAACTCCAGGCAAGTAGTGCCATAGTTAGGATTCGACCCAACGAACCTAGTCCTGCTAGGTGGAAGTGCTAATTTACTTAAACAACATGAAGCAGGGCTGATATAAATTTAAATCTATTGAGCTTTAATAATGTATACAAGTAATAACATATATAAGTTTGGTAACTTATATACAAGTCCCCCCCGTTGGGTCACTTATCTCATTAAGCCCCAACACCCCACTTTCTGATGTGCTAGTCTGCTGTGAAGAGCCTATGCTATTGACTAGATATTTTGTTGACTACCTGAAAGTCTCCAAATTACTGTCCAGTGTTCTGGGTCTGACAAGTCATGGCTAATAAGGTGCAACTTCAGCAACTCCATCTTCCATCAGCATGCTGCAAAGGTCAGTTGGGATGATCACAGGTGCTCCTTTTAAGGGATAGGCCTAGATCAGGGGTGTCCAAACTTTTTTCAAAGAGGGCCAGATTGGATGAAGTGAACATGGTGGAGGGGCCGAACATTTTTCCGAACATTCTTTGAACCATTACAATTAAATGCAAATAAATTATTTTATGCCAAGTTAATTGCAAACGACATACTTTTCATTTCATAACATTAAGATCAACTGACAGCTGAGTTTTCACAATGTATTGAAAATAAATTTTAAAAAAACTTACCTGCACTAATGTGAAGGGTGAAAAAGGTAGCTGGAGCTGAAGTCTCTGCTCGGCAGCCAGGAGGGGAAGAGAAACACACTTCATGCTGGAAGCCCGGCCCTGACGTCACCGCCCTCTGTCGCTCCCAGCGTGGCGCAGTCATGCATGCGCACTGCTCTCAAGCAGAAGACTGTCTGCCACAGAAGGGAGGGCCGTGCGACAGCCGCATTTACACAGACCAGGGAGAACGCGCCGCAATCAGGCATGCGCACTGCCCTCTGCTCTCAAGCAGAAGACTGTCTGCCATAGAAGGGAGGGCCGTGGGAGGGCCACATGACACAGAGCAGGGAGGTCTGTTGGAGGGCCGTATTAAACCGACCCCCGGGCCGTAAATGGCCCGCGGGTCGGACTTTGGACATGCCTGGCCTAGATGGTCTTTGCAGCATCATTGTGCTGTCGCCAGTCTATTGTCTAGGTACTGAAGACACTGCTGCCTGCCTTCGAAAAGAAGATAATCCAGAAATTATTGCTGGTAATTAGCAGGTTGCCTTGGACACTTCTTTAGGTACGTAGCCAGTACACCTCCATGCATAAGTATTAAAACTATAATACAGCCTACAGTGAACCCACAAAATAGAATTTGTTCAGATATAGGGTGAAACAGGGTGAGATGGGCTGCTAAAATGGAACTGAAAGTACTTTCTACTGTAAACTTTAGGAATGAATTGCTCCACAGTGTCTACAACTGCAGGGGTAAGTGAATGTTTGCTTTAAAGCTTATATGCTGGTTTTAAGAATATATCAAATATCTAAATGCCCATAGACTGTACACAGTTCAACTTTAAGTATAATTTCTTCTCTAGCATATTATAGTTTTTAAATTAAGCAGTAGAATCAACCAAGATAAGCAGAAATATGATCTTTGGATCTTATGTAACCTGCATATGTAAGATTCTGTATTAAAATGCAGTAAATAAAGGATCAAAGTAAAGCACTAAACCATACCGAAAATAAGCCAGATTTATTATTATGCTGTGATTTAAAGGGAAGTGCCTTCTATTTTAATTTTTAAAAAAATGCAGGTAAATTCCATAAATGTATTGTATCTACTTACATTTTTGTCTGGTTACTGTAACTGGTACTAGAATACTTAAGCCTCATACACATGAGCATAATGGACAAAAAATACCGCTTTCAGAGTGATCGTCTGATAATCTGATTATTAGTACACAGCTTTTGAGAGCTGATCATGACAGTTCATTTGCAAATATCTGAAGGGACAAAGCGCAAAAATCTTTTTCATATGATAACAGAACAAACAATTTTCATTTATTCAGTACAGTATTCATCCATAAAAAATCAAGTGACCAAGACCATGCATGCTCAGAAAGGAAAGAATACTTTACAATACAATACAATACATCACCTCTGAAGTTGTGTTCTGTCGTACAAGAATTTTCATACCTTCAGTAACCTGTTCATTTTCAATATGAGACTAGCATGCAGAAAAAAAAAAAGGACGACCAGTCATCAGATATTCTCATCTTTTGTACTATGCTTAACCCTTCAATCATATCACTCATCCCCCCCCCCCCCCCCTCTATAAATTGGTGGTGCATCAGGCTTCCAATCTCAAAGGAAATGTTGCAGCTGAAGGGGGGATTTGTGAATTGACTGCAAAAGAATCTGATAATGGCTTAACCAATACTCAAGGGATCAGAAGAGATTCAATCATGTGTGATGTAATTGGCATAGCAGCTGTAAAAAGGATTCTGCATGGTATGGCTTTGCTGAAGGCATTGAAAATATGTTTGGTTAGGCAGTTATAATGTCTCTTACTGACCTTGTGGCAGCTTCCCTTACCTCTAGCTCACACCAATGCATTTTTTAGTCCTTTTTGCAGAAATGCGCTACAGTCCATTTAACAGTGTTTCCTGTGGGACATGTTCACATCTATGCTTTTTT